AGTGGTTCCACCAGGCTTATCAGACCAACAAACCTTGTCCCCCTTTTTTTTCCCAAATGATTTTGAGTTTTGTTCCACATTGTTCTCCCTCTTTATCCAGGATCTCCTCCATAGGTCCTCCTCTGAGTGATTGACATTGGTAGCCAGGCACCATCTAGTTCTTCTGGTCTTATAGTCATATAGGCTGCAGATCGCATGGTGTACCAGTTGCTAGGACTAATTCTTTCCATGAATCTTTGGGTTTCTTCATTCTTCTCTGCTCTGGACGACAAGAGACCCATTGTTGCATCTAGATGGCTGCTTGCAAGCTTTTAAGATCCTAGTCACTACTAGCCAAAGTAGGAGGTGGAACAATGTTTTGTGTAGTACGTTATGCCAATTGAGCTTGTGTCCCCTGTGACTATGGTCAACTACCCAGTTCAACTACTGGGTCCCTTTGGGTAGCTGGCTGTGATCAAGAAGCGACTACAACTTTGTCCCTTGTCAGTATACACCTGGGAATTCAGATCATACAAATACACTTAAGAGGACCACTGTCTGCCAACCCTATACATGGGCTTGGTTACACTCCTCACTTCATAGACACACCTAATAGTTCAGCCTGTCTACCCATTCATCCATCAGTTGTATACGTAACTATTCTTGTCTTTTCATAATAGTGAGATCACACAGTACATGTCTTTTTGTCACCGACTTATTTCACTCCTCCAGTTTCACCCACTTTATATTTTGAGAACTCATCATTATTTTTCATGACAGCATAGTATTCCACTGTATGTGTACATACCACCTTTTGTCCATCTATCCATCCGGTAATGGGCACTTAGGTTGTTTCCAGTTTTTGTTATTGTGAATAGTGCTGCAATGAACAAAGGTGTGCACATGTCTGACTGTGCCTTTAGTATTAGATCTCTAGGTACGCATCTAGCAATGGGATTGTTGGGCCATAAGGTAGTTCTATTTCTAGTTTTTTTAAGAAAGTGCCATACTGTTTTCCATAGTGGTTGTTACCATTTAATAAACCTACCAGCAGTGGATAAGTGCTCCAATCTTCCCACAGCCTACAACCTCACCAACTTTTTTTTTTTTTAATCAGTGTCATTTTAGCCATGAGATGGTATAGCATTGTAGTTTTGATTTGCATCTCTCTGGCTAATGAAAGTAGCTCTGGTGGCACAGTGCCTAAGGCATCTGCCTGCTAACCAGAAGGTTGGCGGTTCAAACCCACGAGCTGCTCCACAGAAGGAAGATGGGGCAATCTACTTCTGTAAAGATTTATTGCCTTGGAAACCCAATGGGGATTGCTGTGAGTAGGAAACTTGATGGCGGTGTTTGGTTTTTCTTTTTGGTTTAATGGCTAATGAAAGAGCTCTGGTGGCACAGTGGTTAAAGGATTCAGCTGCTAACCAAAAGGTTGCCAGTTCGAACCTACCAAGTGCTCCATGGGAGAGCAATGAGACAATCTGCTTCCATGAAGACTGACAGCCTTGGGAACTTTGGAGGCAGTTCTACTCTGTCCCATAAGGTCACTGTGAGTTGGAATCAACTTGATGGCAGTGGGTTTGGTTTGGTTTGGTTAGGGAGCTCTCGTGGTGTAGTGGTTAAGGCATTCAGCTGATAACCAAAAGGTTGGTGGTTCAAACCCACCAGTCATTCTGTGGAAAAAAAAGATGAGAAACTGTGGACTTCCCTAAAGATTTACTGCCTTGGAAACCCAATGAGGGTTGTTATGAGTTGGAATCAACTCAATGGCATTGAGTTTGGTGCTTTGGGTTCTTGATTTGGTTTGTTAATGGCTAATGACTGTGAGCATCTTTTCATGTGTCTGTCGGTCGTTTGAACATTCTCTTTTGTGAAGTGTCTGTTCATGTCCTTTGCCCATTTTTTAAACTGGACTATTTGTCTTTTTCTTGTGTTGCCATTTAATTATTTTAATTGCCATGTAACTCTCTCACAAAAAAAGGGCAGGAGCTCCTGGCAGCTATGTAGAGCCAAGGGGCAGTGATGCAGGTGCGGCTCAAGTGCCGAGGAGCCAGGGGCTGGGGGCTGGTGCTCACAGGATGCGCTGGAGGTAGTTCTCCAGCTGAGTAGGTAGGCCAGAGAACACTTCACTGTGCAGCTAACTAAAAGAGAGGGAGAGGGGGTGGGGAGAAGCGGAGAGGGGACGCCTGGAGAGCTGGGCTCCGGTGGCACCTCAGTGAGGCAGGGAGCCTGAGGCAGAGACTCTGGGAGCCGCTCAATCAAAGCTCCCTCGGTAGTTCACTCTGTCAAGATGACCAAATTTCTGGGAGACAGCATATCCTCCCATGACAAGGACTGACAAGTCGTGCAGCCCAGTGATGATCACATGGCACCACCTACTCTCGGACTCCAAGGACAATTCTACGGCCCTACCAGTGGCTGGCTGTGTGTGGTGCAGTCAATGTGCTCATCTGCGTCCATCCAGAAGCATGTTGGAAGAAAGGCCTGACAATCTACTTTGAAAAACCAGCCACTGGAAACCTGGCGGAGCTGTCCACTCTGACATGCACGGGGTCTCCACGAGTCATAAACGACTCAACGGCCACTGCTTCACTGGCTGCCAGGGGCTCAGCTGCTCCATGAGACTTTTTCTTTTTCTCTTGGTTTAACTGAAAAGGAAGCAAATAAAAATGCCCCGGAAATGAAAGCTGTAAATCATTTCCACACAGAGGAAACGTCTAATTGCGACCTGAAATGATAATTATTTCCCCCTTTCGACTCAAAGAGATATGCCCTTTGTCTTCAAGCTGCTTTTTCTCCACAGCTAGACTAAGTAGAAGTCATTAATAACATACCGAATCTGCTCGTCTGTGAAGCCTGGTGCATGCGCATCGAGGTGAAATAGAAGAGTAGCTGTCCTCTGCCATTCATGGCAATAAGTCAGAGACTTGTACAGAACAAGTCTTGGTAGCAGCAAAAGGCAAGCTGGACATGCGCACTGGGTCTATCCACCTGCACAGTGACGGATCCTTCACGCGTCATTCATCCTCAGGAAATGGGGGGCACTGAATCGCTCAACATGGCCTTTCTAGCTGTGGTCCTCCATTTTGTGATGTATTGTAAATCACAGCCTCCGTGCCTGTCTAGGGCGGGATGTATCTTAAGTCCTGCCTGTGGTTTCCTTGAGGGCACCTATGTGGATGTGCTGGAGAAGGCTGCTCTCTCTGGCTCTGGATCCTGCATTTGCTTCGTCATCATCTCACCCCTGGACTTGAGACAGCAGCCTCATCAGCCCCTGCAAACACGTGGGGGAGAAGCCTCCAGCCCTACAGCTGACCCTCGGATGTGGGACTTGCCAGCCTCCTCACCTCCACCACTGCGTGGAGCCATTTCCTTGACAGTGAGCGAGTTCTGTGAGATGATGCAGTGAAATAAGGGCAAGAGGGAGAGGACTGAGAGGGGCAGGAGGAGGAGGAGTTGATGTTAGAGATGACAGAGTGGTACAGCAGTTTGGAAAAGTTGGACATTTGGGACATCTTTAGCCTCCTCACCTCACAGGGACCAGCCTTGTGCTGATCCTTTTAAAAGAAATTATTCGAGCAGGAAGACTCAGCGTCATTACGTGTCCAGATGTGGATAAGAAAACCATCTGACCTATTGGAAGGGTTACCCCAGGCCTTCAGCAGAGGGTAAACCACAGCGGTGCGGACTAAACCTTTGCAATATACTTAACCTTCACAGAGCCTGGTGGGACTTCCACGGCCCTCCTAGGGCTCTCCAGATGTGTGTCTGGTCCCAGGGCTGGAGGAGGGGGCCTCATATCGATGATGGCGATGGCCCAGGCTGACCTGGGTTTCTAGCCCCAGGGCTGGGGCCGGGAGAAGCGACTCCCAACAGAGGGGAGGCGATGGCAGGTGCTCATTCTCCGTTGGGATTACGTGCTTCCCACATGGAAAGCAGATGCTTTTGTGTCTCCGAGGATGAAACCAGGCCCCTCATCGAGCCTGAAGCGGGGCCAGCTGTGGCGCAAAGGGCAACAAGAAATGTCGGTCCCACTCCACTTGGCAGCCCCAGTGTGCTTCCTTCGGTCCCAGAGGGTCCCTCCTCCAGCCCTGGGACCAGACACATATCACACAGCCCCAAAGAGTGGAAAATCGTAAACGCAGAGGATAACGTGTTTTTCATCTCACGTGGAATGCTGTATTAATCCAAGTGGTCTCCTTTCTTATTATTCAGATTGAAGGAGTAAGATTGCTCTCAAACTAAGCTCCTTTCCATAATACAGAGTAGATTAACTTAATTTGTGCTAGACTTCAATTTAATTTCAGCTCCAGCTCAGAGGCCAAATCCCCAGAAATGCTCATCTGGGCTTTGCAGGAAAGAGCTATTTTCTTTCTTTGAGGGAAGGAGGTAGCAGGTTTAAAGGCTAATATAAACCACCCAGGCGTCCTGTTGTTTTTGTTGTTATTATGTGCTGTCGAGTTGGACCTGACTCATAGCGACCCTCCCTTGAGTTACCGAGGCAGTATCACTACGGAAGTAGATTGCCCCATCTTCCTTCCGAGGAGTGGCTAGTGGGTTTGAACCGCCAGCCTTCTGGTTAGCAGTCAAGTGCCTTAGGCACTATGCTACCAGAGCTCCCCCCAGATATCCTAGTGTTTATTAAATTGTGAGTCCTCCAGCAGGCAGTCACATAAGCAATAAACACACACACACACACACACATAGTTTCCTGGTGGTACAGTGGTTAAGTACTCAGCTACTAACCAAAAGGTTTGAACCCACTGGCTGCTCCACAGGAAAATGAGGTGGCAGTCTGCTTCTGTAAAGATTTACAGCCTTGGGAAACGTATGGGGCAGTTCTATTCTGTCCTACAGGGTCGCTACATGATCACATTAACAGGAAGCACGCTCGCCCCCTCCAGACAAAAATAAAATCTCAATCATCCCAGAAAAGAGAAGTGGATACTGGTGACGTGTGAAGCATGAGGTACCTGGGAAAGCACTAGAGTTTCTGGTGAAGGAACGAGGCTGTGCACTGAGTAGTGGGTTTTCATGTTTATTATTGTCGTGTGTGTCCCCCCGCCCCCTTCTGTACTACAATCGAAGCTGAGTGATCTACTGCCAATGGGCGCAGATTCGCCAAATCAAAGTGGCAAGGGAAGCGTGCTTTGTGTAATCCTCTTTGGAGAAGACACACGAGGCAACGTGTCTGCTACTTCTGTTCCCCAGGGAGAAATAACTAGAAGAGCTGCTTGGCTGGAGAGTGGGCCAGGGTGGGAGGTGGCAGCTGGCCCTCAGTCGGAATCCATCGTGAACAGCTGGATGTCCTGGGGGTTCCAGTACAGGCCTGCGGCAGAGTTGTAGACCAGTGACCAGACGTAGGGGATAAAGAACTCCTCGGGCTGCTCCTCTTCCACGTATTTGAATTTCAGTTCTGGAAATTTCTGCAATGAAAAAAGATGATTTTATAATTTCACAGTTCCCTGGAAAAGCAAAAGCAGCAACAGTTTACAAGCTACTAATTGGTCAAAGGGCCCGAGTGCCTGGCTCTAAAGCATTTTCACCTTCAAATGACTCCTAGGGAACGGTAAGCAGAAAGAGCCCTAGCACTATTGGAGCTGGTCAGCCAGGGTCCACTGGCGACAGGATGCTGGGCCGAGGGACCCGAACAGGGGTAGAGGTAAGGGCAGAAACATCACAGCTGGGCCACGGCCCCCGATGCATGCTCAGGCCAACCCTACTGTACAGCGCTCAGGGCTGGTTCTTCTGGAGAAGCCGGGTCAGGGGTCAGGCCTTCTGGAGATGAGGACTTCCGTTCACAGTTCCTGACTTTCAATGGAAAGGACAGGAACGTGCCCCCAGCGAGATGTCAGTCACCGTCTGGGGCAGGCCACGTGCGGCCAGACCTCAGCCTTGGCCTTGCCCTTCTTGAAGGCAGGTGGCCCTGCACACGCTTCCGGTGGCCTGAGTCTGCATTCCTGTCGCGGCCGTGAGAGGGGGCAGGCCTTCAGCCACCCCGGATGGCACTTACACTGCAGTGCTTCACCTGGACTGGGGCACCGGCATGTGCTAGCTCTACTCCTGACCTACTTCCCATCAGGGCAGGGGACATGCGTCTTCTTTCAGCAGCAAGCTTGAGTCCACGAAAGGCCGCTTGTCAAAGTGACTGTGACTGGCTTCAGCTTGGTGACCTCTCCCCCAGAAGGGGTGGGACGAGCTGTCCGGAGAGGAAGGGGACAGGGGAAGGCTGAGGGGAGAAGACAAGCATCACTGTATGTGGCGGCACAGCCTCCCTCCTGCGTTTATCACATCACACTGGGATGTGTGGCCCTGAGGGCAGAGATCCCCTTTAATCTGTTTTGTTTGCTGCTGTATCCAACAAGGCCACCAATGAATGAAACACACCCATCAACCTTATGTGGAGGACTGACTAGGCCCAGACACATGAGTAAGTGCTTCATGCATATTATCTTACTTAATCTTTCTTCTGTGAATCATTCATTCATTGTATCCACGAGTGTCTGCTACTCAGGGCCAGACAGGCACTGCGTGTGCCAGGGGCTAGGGACATGAAGGTATAGCAGCCATGAAACAAGCTGTCCTTGAAGAGGTGCATTCTTGTGGGAGACGGAGACAGTCAAACAGCAGCAGCAGCAGCAGCAGCAGCAACACAGTTCTAACACAGCAGCGAGAAAGGGAAGGATGAGACTCAGACGCTCCAGAGGCCTGGAGGCCCAGGCAGCAGCCGGAGGCAGGGGGAGTGCTCCCAGGAGGGAGCGGCTTGGAGGGAAGGCCTGTGGGTGCAGCAGGAGGCCCATCACACTCAGGGTCGAGGAGGGCTGCTGCTGCTGTTGTTGGTTGCTCTCAAGTTTTTCTGACTCATGGTGACCCCGTGTGTGCAGAGGGGGACTGTCCACGGGGATGTCAAGGCTGTGACCTTTCAGAAGCAGACTGCCAGGCCTGTCTTCTGAGTACCTGGGTGGGTCTGAACTGCCAACCTCTCAGCCAGTGGTGCAATGCTTACTTTTTGCAGCACACGGGGGCTCCTGAGAAGGGGGTTGGAGGGAGAGTAAACGGTGGTGGGCAGGGCTAGAGCTGGGGAGGCCAGAGCCTTGAGAAGAACCCCGGACTCAGTCCTAAGGCCCTGGAGGCCTCTACAGGCTGAAGAAGCACAAGGACGTCAGAGCGGCCCCCGTAGGTGACCCCTCGCTTGCAGTGTGGGGGTGTGGGAGGTCAGGGCTGGAGGCTGGGCAAACGGGCCTGAAAGGCAACACATGTCGGTGGAGAGAAGTGCGTGGATTTAAGAGATATCTAGGAAAGAGAATCAATAGAACTTGTTCATTTTATCATTTGAAATGATAAAGATAAGGTAGCAGACTAAACAAGAGGCCCAAAGTAAGGGGGAGCTAGGGTCTGAATCTACCTTTGTCTGATTCCAAGGGTTTCTGGCACCCATTCAACTCCCTAAGAGTCGGATACACGTGCCTTTCCCCAGCCCTGGGAACTCACACTTTTAAGTGGTATCTTGGGTCTTCTATGCCAACCTGGGCAGTCCCAAGTACTGGTCTCCCAAGTGAGGAGCTTACAGTGTGGGAGTCAGGGGAGACAGACACACCTCATACATGCACGCACAGAGTTACAGCATTTTTAAACATTTACAATAACGGAGAATAAACATCTAAGTGGTGATCAGAGAGGGGCAAGGTTAACAGGAAATGCTTTGGGGGAAGATGAACTCTGAGAAAAAACCTTGAAAAAGTGTGCAGGAATTCCTGGGGGAGGGCTTTGTCATTGATGTTACTTCTCCAGACCAAGTCACTGCAGACAGCACAGCCCACCTGTATGGCTTTAGTGAAAACCAATTCCCTACATCCCGGCTCCCAAAACAGTATTTAAACACAGGTCTTACGTTGTTGTTGTTAGGTGCCACTGAGTCAGTTCCAACTCACAGCGACCCTGCACACGACAGAATGAACCACTCACTCCCTGACCTTATGCCACCCTCACAGTCACTGCCAGGTTGGAGCCCACTGATGCAGCCACTGTGTTGATTCATTTCATTGAGGGGCTTCCTCCTTTTAATGGACACCAAGTTTACCAAGCATGATGTCCTTCTCCAGGACTGGTGCCTCTTGATAACAGATCCAAAGTGCATGAAATGAAGTCTTGTCATCCCCACTGCCAGGGAACATTCTGGTTCTATTTCTCCCAGGACAGATTTGTTCATTCTTCTCACAGTCCATGGTACCTTCAATATTCTTCCCCAAAACCACAGTTCAAAGGTATCAACTCTTCTTTGGTCTTCACTGTCCAGCTTTCATGTGTATATGAGGTGACTGAAAATACCATGACATGGGTTGGGGAACCTTTGTCCTCTAGGTGACATCTTTGCTTTTTAACACTTTAAGAGCTCTTCTGCAGCAGATGCATGCAACGCAGTACATTTCGTAAGTGGCCCAAACCTTAGCATCACCTACCCTTACAGCCTCTCATATCCTCTCCCACTCCATTCCTCAGTCCCCTTCTCCAAATTCTTCTGGTTTAATGAAAATCCAAGCCTTTCCAGGCTCCTGGTGTTCCCAATCAGTTCTGTATTAGCATCTGTGTAGGTTAAGAGTCAGGCTGTGTGCTGATGGTAATGTTAACGACTGCAACTTATAATACGACTTCTCTAAGCGGGCTCTAGGGATGCGGCACTACCCCTACCATGTGCTGACATGAACTTGGGTCCCCTGTGTCCTCCCTTGTCATCCTTTCACGCAGTCCGTTGACTCACTCCCACCCTAACCTCAGCATTCTCTGGGTGCACTGGAACTACCCAAACAGGCAGGTCGCCTCCTACCTACTGAGTCTCCTTGAAGTTTGTGCTGCTTCTGGCCTGGCAGGGGACTCTAAGGAAGGACAGGGTAAGTGGAGATGGCAGTAAGTCTTTGTCATGGAGTCAGATGTCTTATAGGCAGCAGCAGCTCAATGAGATTCTTTCCATTGGCAGCCACAAGGTGTGGCTGGTAGCTACCATAATCTCTGCACCCCAGGCGCCTGGGAACTCCACCAGAACAGGAGGGCCAATCAGCAGTGTCTTGGCTGAGACCAGTCTCGGCAACCCCAAGCAGCAGAAGACAAAGTGCAGGCACAGAGGGCTAAGTGCCTGGTTCAAGGTCACACAGTCCATTAGAGACGCCGTCAGGTTGAAAGCCTAGTCTGACTGAGTGTGCAGCAATGCAATGCAATGCACTGCCGTTGAGCCAGATTGGACTCATAGCCACCCCTCCTTGGGTTTCCAAGGTAGTATCACTACAGGAGTAGATTGCCCAACCTTTCTTCTGAGGAGTGACTGGTGGGTTTGAACCGCCAACCTTCTGGTTAGCAGTCAAGTGTCTTAGGCAGAGTCAGTGTGAAGAGACATCAGCACTCTAGCCACCTGCCATGGATTCAAGTGTATAAATCCAAACCCCTATACCTGTGGTAGGAGCTCTGGTAGCATAGTGCCTAAGGTACTTGACTGCTAACCAGAAGGATGGCAGTTCAAACCCACTGGCCACTCCTCGGAAGGAAGATGGGGCAATCTACTTCCGTAGTGATATTGCCTTGGAAACCCAAGGAGGGGGTCACTATGAGTCCACACATAACACCACCACCACCATACCTGTGGTTATAATCTCATCTGGGAATATTTTTTTTTGTGTGTTATGTTAAGAGCCTGTATCAGTGTAGGGTGTGTTTTAAACTGATCACTGCTGCGATATAACAAGAGCAGACTAGGACAGAAGGACAGACGAGCCGGCAGGGATGGGGAAGACAAATGCCAGACCACACGATCACCAAGGAACCAAGGAACAAGGACCTTTCCTCAGGGCCAACGCAGAGAGCCTTCCTCTAGCACAGACACTGAATTTGGACCTCTAGCTTCCTACCTGTGAGAAGACAGATTTCTGTTTGGTAAAGTTACCCATGTGTGGTACTTCTGCTGTAGCCGCACTAGAGAACTAAGACACCCCCCGAGGACTCTGGCCACTCACCCAGGCGGCCTGCGACTGACTGCCTGGCCTTTTCACTGCGCAGCACAGAGCCCAGCCCGTTGCTGGGCCTTATCAGAGATGAGGCCAATGACTCCAAAGCCACGTGATGTCAATAATCAAGAAAGGAAGGGGGCTCCATTTCAATAAGAAAAGGTGCTTACCCATAAATGGAATCAAAGTCCTAGTTCTTGGAGCAGCCTCAAGGTCAGCCAGCCTCTGACCCTGACTCTGAGGGCTGGCTATGGTGATCTGACAAGGTCAGGGTCCCTGCAACTTCTGCCAGTGGGAACGGTAAGAGCCTAAATTTCTTTGCTTTCTTTTTTAAATTTGGCAGACTTTATTTGGGATAAGTCAGCTTCCCCTTCTCCCAAAACATCTATTTATTTATTTATTTTTTATCGTGATCTGGGTTAAAGTTTACGGAG